TTTAAGTGATTAACTAGTTACGTAACTAATTAATTATGCACGATACACGTTACTATTTCTGCAATCATTTAAAATTGATTGAGTTCTTTAAACTCTTCTCATACAGAAAACTGCAAGTTGCTGTTTCAAAGAGCACTTCATTTAGTAATTTTATCACAGGTGCAGCCTACATTTGTAGACTCATAGATTACTGCGTTAAATATCTACAATACAATAATATATAAGCCTGTTATGACATTTTAGTTATCACGAAACTTCGACCATAATAATATGTGATGCTTTTCATCATTTGAATTCAGAAAATTGTATGGTCTCAAATTTCTTATTATAAGTTTACTTCTGACAAGATAAATCTCTTAATGTTAGAAAAATATTGTTTTCTTATTAATCAAAATTTACTCTCGTGTACTTGTGACAAATATAGATCTAATCAGTATTAACTATATCGATATTGCTAAGAAAGTGGTATTATTTCTTTATTCTTTATTTAAATCCAATAAGATTGCGAGAGGCTCGCATGATATGATTTATTTAATTTAGTAATTAAGCTACATGTACATAATATTCTATTGATCACATATCCGAAATGTGAATTATTTACAATAAAAATATAATCATCGTTTCGTAACTTCGATAGTGTTACGTTAACCCTTTACTACATATATACGCGAAACAACGCACTTTCGACCCCCCCCCCTTTTTAGGCCTCAAATAGTGAAAAAATGTCCTATTTGGGCCCCAAACACATGTTTTCGTTTGAGAAATGTTGCTTTAAAAAATGAGCACTTTTTCGGCGCCGCCCTCCATCCAAAAGATACATCAGGGGGTTGCCAGAAGGGGGATGTGCCCCCTTTTGTTAGGGGGGTTTGAAGGGGGACGGAGTCCCCCTCATCGCCAAGAAAATTTTTGACTTGTGAGAGGCTAAAAATGACCCCAGGTCGATCATAATGTAATGTGTAACCAACGCTGAAAAGCCTCTGACTCTATCTCAATCCCTTGAGAAGTTGCAGCACTTTGAAATAAATTTTGATGGAAAAATCGAGGCAAAATAGTGATTTTTGGCAATTTTGAGATGTCCCCTCGTTGCCATGGTAACAGGAAATTTAAGACTGAGCATGTCGTTACAAAGGCAATGGTCCAGTCAACATTTGTGCTAAGTTTGATTAGTATTGAAGCATTTTTCATAGTTTCATAGCAGTTTGAACTTGTAACAGGAGGCTTTTCAGTGAAAACGGCCATTTTTTACAATATGCTCATGGGGGAAAGGGTTAATAAAATATTTGATTGACGTGTTTGTGCTTTAATGTTGTATACTCGACGAAAATGATCATGTTGAGTATGCGTTTATGTCATAGGAAAACTATTTATCTTTGTTTCAGCGACATTTATAGCACATTTTGAAGCCAATTTGTCTGGTCAAAATATATTTATTATGTATCACGTTCATAAATTTATTATATAAGGTGCATTTATTGTCACAAGTAGACACTTTTGAAATAACAATGCCAGACTTTTAAGATTATCCTTTATGAGATATATATATTCTATTTGGTTCATTTCTATAGACTAGAAAAGTAGAACATGTGCATTATAAGAAGGAAATAATATCAACAGTATGTATTGCAAGAAAACAAAATTGAAACAGCAAGTTTTATGCGTAACAAGGCCTATAACATTATGGTTTATGATTCTTTCGCAATATACGCCACTGGTCAACACACATCTAGTACACCTTTGCACCATATAAAGCAGTTGTCAGTAAAAAACTACCGCGTATTCTTGATCTTTAGAATTATTTGAACAATATTATACAAGGTAAAAACTCATATTTGAACGCGATTTTAAAATGAAACGGTCCATAATGGAATGTCTGTAATATCATAAATTAAAAGGTTTATAGTATTTATTATTTAACATCTAAGCGACTTAAAAAATATAACGATTACATTATGAATTTTCAGCGTATGAACCACGTGATGTTACAACATAACTCATAAATCCACACGTATCATTTTTGTCTCGTTAAATTATACATTTCATATGGTTATCCTAGTAAAAATATTTATATCAAATGCATATCGTACAGCATTTAGCCTCGTTTTCAAAGTACAAATACAGTTTTTTTTATTGATTTTTAAGTTCTGTCAAAATCTTGTAGAATGTGGAATAAAGACGTCATTATACATTGTTGAGAAAAATACTGACTCTATCGGACTTGTACAAGCTACAAAAACTTTATCATACTATGCTAACGTCTCGTCTTGTAAAGGTTTTACAATCGTATACTTGTCCAATAGAATTCAGTATTGTACTCAACAATGTATAATAACTTCACAGAATCGTACATGATAATAACCCACGAGATAATTATATAAAGATGTTGTTGGTAAGTGTGGGATACATGACTCGATATGACATGATTCACAATGAGCAGATAATACATTGTTCTTATTCAAAATATTATTATCATAAACAGTTAATATTTAATAACTTACACATTTATGAACATTTAATTTTCAGGAAATAATGTATAAGAGTATCCAAAGGATTCATTTCTATTGCTTTTTGATCAATATTTGAAATACTTATAGAACTTGTACCCATTATAAATCAAAATGCTTATGAAGAACATTGCAATTTCAGCGTGTTTGTTTGATATGAACAGAATAGTATTAACTTGAATGATTTATCTGTTCTGTAAAACAGTTTTAAAAGTAAATTTTGGCTTTGTATCAATAAGATAGCAAAGCAGTTTCAAAGTTATCTTTATAGCAAATACATATTTACAGCATTGAAACAAAATCATTTTCAAAATATCAAATAAATGTCCAATGTAACAGGGATATATCCTTTTAGTAATCTCTTTGTATTGTCTCTGTGAGACAAAATAAATTATCAATCATGATATATTGACAATGCATACATTCCAGTAACGATATCGTAAAATGTCTACAAAACTGTCTATTGTCAATCAAAAAATCAACAGATGTAATAAATACAATATATTGTAATATAAAAAGTAAACAGCCGACTTTATTACAAGCAATATCGGACATAGAAATAAAGAATTATTTGTTTTTAAGACACTATGTCATAAATGTCCGCTTATTATATACATAGAGGATATTGAATGAGTGTAAGTGTCAGAATAATCATGAAGTTTATATGTAGATATGTGTCTTACAACGAGTTAATATTTCCCTACAGTGATGTATCGTTGTAGATAAAACAACGAGTTAATATTTCTTTACAGTGATACATTGTTTTGAATAGAGTGTAAATATCATGTTTAAACCAGTCGCTGTATGTATACATGTTTAAAGTTCAAATCGTTTAAGCTAGCAAATATGCGCGTTTTGAGAGAGATTTTACATCAGTTAGGAGACACACGCTTATAGTGTGTGGGGTTATATTTTATTGGGAAGAGAATTTTGTTGTTGTGAAGAGAATTTTGTTGTTTTGAAGTCAATTTTGTTGGTTTGTTGAAGTGGTTGAATATAATTGTGGTGATCTTAATTGATCAGGATTTATTGGTTGTAATTAGTTGTTTTTGGTTGTTGAGTTATATCTGTTTGTGAAGATATAATTGGTTGATATTGGTTGAATGTTTGGTATTTATATCAAGATTATATTAGTTGCTGCTTTGTTTTGAGGATATATGTAAATATTGGGTGCTTTAGTTTAAGTTGTTTTCTGATGCTGATTAGATTGTGTGAAGTTAATATTGTTGGATGAATGTTTGTGGTTTATACCGTATCTTAGAGTTGTAAAAATATTCATTTTTTTGTGTTCTTCATTTTGTGGTGATTTTATTGTTGTTTGATCATAAGTTGTTAGAGCTTGGGCTCGCCAGGTGTCTTGTTTCGTATAAAAGACGTATACGTGAAAAGATATTTCATATAAGTGGCTGATAAATGATGTGTGTTTGTTTTGGGTGTAAATAATGATCAGAGTTCTTTGTTTTGGGTGTAAATAATAATCAGAGTTTGTTGTTTACATGTATATATTGATTTGAGATAGAAAAGGATAAAAATACCTAAAAAAAAAGATAGTGTTAACTAAACAATTACATGCTAGTTTTCCAACTGAGAATATTTCACTTTTATGTCAGGCGGTGCTGCCCAGCCTCCATATCTTGGAAATTGGTTCTAGTATTTATTACTAAATCTTTTCTTAGATTAAATAACATCAAGGCAGACATTTCTCCTGACAATTTGGGGGCTCGTCCGGGATATTCTCTTTAAGTTGGAATTTTTCCTGGCAAAATATTGTTTGTTAAACTTTGATAAAAAATTTATTAAACCTTTAAATCATTTACGATCTGTTGGTAAAATACTGCAGTGTAAAATGCTGTTAGGCGAAAATCGATAAACCTTCGTTGTAGTGTTATACAAGTAAACTCTCTGTGCAATAGAGTTTAAGTAGAGAGTTATATGTGTAGAAGCGGTGACGGGCTGTGTTTAAAAGTTTATTTATACTAAAGAAGTTATTGCATTTTAGCAGGAGAGCACCCTTTGTTGAATACTGTTTATACGGTAATAGAATTAAGTGGTTTTTTGGAGACATTTGTTTCGATAGTTTGAATCATTGTGTTAATAAGTTTATATCGATGATAAAGATATAACTTATAATTTGTTGAGGTTATAAACATCAGTAGTTGATTAAAGTTTATAACCGGTGTTCAGTGGGTGATTATCCATAAAAGTGTATGTTATAGTTGAATAGCTAGTTGTTGCTGCCGGTGCTCAGATGGTTGTTGTCATAAAGTTTACATAGTTGTTAAACACTACATAAAGATTGATATCGGTCCACTGGTTGTTACTTTTGATACAAGTTCATTGCCGGTGCCCGGTAGGTGCCAATGTTATATAGAGATTAGATTTGGAATAACGATTGTCGGTGCTACAGAGGTACACCATTTTGTTGAGTAATAAGTGTTTATTTTACGGGTTTCGTAAAAGTTTATTATTTTTGTAATAGTAATCCATTATTAAGTAATTATGGATTATGATAAATGGGTATCATTGGGAGAGAGACTTGGGTTGAAGGACGGGGAGTTGCGTGATTATGTTCAAAAGAAAGAATCAGAATATCTTGATAGAGAAGAGAGAAATATTAGACGTGAAGAAGATAAACGGCGATTTGAGGCCGAGCGTAAAGCAAAAGAAGATGAACGTGAGGAAGAGCGACGGCGATTTGAGGCCGAGCGTTTAGAAAAAGAAGCTGAGCGTGAGGAAAAGAAACGTTTATTTCAAGCTGAAGTAGAGATGAAAATGAAAGAGCAAGAAATAGAATTAATGAAGTTAAAAATTGAGGCTGGGGATCGCCTTGATACCCCACCTAGCACCGGTTTGAGGCCAAGATTGCCTAAATTTGAAGAGTCAAAAGATGACATAGATGCTTATATAGAGCGTTTTGAAAGATTCTCTATCAGTCAAGGATGGAAAGAAGACACATGGGCAATAAGCTTAAGTTCGTTATTAACGGGGAAAGGTCTTGAAGTTTACACTAGTATGCCTCCTGAGCAAGCATCAGACTATCAAGAATTAAAAACAGCAGTTTTGAAAAGATACCAATTAACAGAAGACGGTTTCAGAAATAAATTTAGAGAGAGTAAGCCGGAACAAGGAGAGACTGTAAACCAATTCATGGCTCGCTTAGATAGGTACTTTAGTAGATGGACAGAAATGGCCGACGCTGCGGATACAGTAGATAAATTGAAAGATCTTATTATTAGAGAGCAATTTGTCAAAGTTTGTTCAACAGAGCTAGCTCTTTTTCTTAAGGAACGGAAGCCAAAGGATCGTAGAGATGTCATATCTTTGGCTGAACAATACTTAGAGGCTCATGGCGGTACAATTACAAATAGTAAAAGCTCAAAAGTTGCCAATTTTTCCAATAAATCACCAATACGCCTTAATCAAGGTAATCTATCGAAACCAATACAGCACTTTCACAGAGAAAATAGAAAAGTAACATGCTTCATATGTAATAGAGAGGGGCATGTGGCCAGAGATTGTCGAGATCAGACTAAGAAAAGATATGGGGCTGCTGCAATGTCATATGGAGAGCAAAATAGAAATTACTTTAAAACAAATCGGGATTCTTCACCAAGGAACTGGCGTAGTAGGCCTGGAGAAAATAGACGTGATGGTAGATCAGATGATAAGAAAGTATCGGGGTTATGTATGTCAATTTCTCCGACAAAATCTTACGATGGCTGTATTGAAGAGGGGAAACTTAAATTAGCAAATGGTAATTCTGTGCCTGTCATTACAAGTAGCTGTACAATTGAATCATTAGAAGGTGAACGTCAATTGGATCTGAAACTAGGATATGTTGGTAATCAAGAGGTGAAAGTTCTTAGAGACACTGGTTGCGAGTTAGCAGTTGTTAGAAAGAAGTTAGTGGAAGAAGATCAAATGTTGAATAAAAATTGTGTCATGATAGCAATAGATGGTCGGGCCAGGTTGGTACCTATGGCAAAAATAGACATTGATACACCTTATTATAAGGGTAAAATAGAAGCTATGGTTTTAGAGTCAGCAATTTGTGACTTAGTCTTGGGCAATATTCAGGGTGTACTTGATAAGCCAAATGAGAAGTGGGTTAGCCGAGAAGTAACAAGCATAGCTGATGTTGTTACTAGAGCACAGGCAGAAAAAGAGAAGAAAGCAATGAAACCTCTTAAAGTTCCGAAGGTCGAAGATAACGAAATTACGGTAGATGTTCTTAAGAAAGAACAATCAAATGACAATACGTTACAGCGTTTGTGGCAGTATGCTAGGGAAAATAAGATCATGAAAACAAAAAGCGGTAACAAATTTAGATATGAAGTAGAAAAAGATGTGTTGTATAGAATATTTGAGACGGTGAAAGGCGATTTGAAGTCTGAAACAAGACAAATAGTTGTTCCTAGTAAATATCACAAAAGAGTTATGTCATTAGCTCATGAATCTATAGTGGGTGGGCATTTGTCTGTACGCAAGACTTTAGACAGGATACAGTCTAGTTTTCACTGGCCAGGTATTTCTAGTGATATAACTAGATTTTGTCGTTCCTGTGACATTTGTCAGAAGACGGTGCCCAGGGGCAGACTTCAGAAAGCTCCTTTAGGTGAAATGCCTATTATTGACACTCCGTTCCAGAGAATTGCGGTTGATTTGATAGGGCCAATAACGCCTGTATCGGAAAAGGGAAATAGGTACATATTAACTGTAGTTGATTATGCTACACGTTACCCAGAAGCTGTTGCTTTACCAAGAATTGAGACTGAAAATATAGCTGAAGCATTGTTAGATATTTTTGCAAGAGTAGGTTTCCCATCGGAAATACTTAGTGATAGGGGTAGTCAGTTCACGTCACAACTTATGGAAGAAGTTTGTAGACTTGTATCACTGAAACAGTTGTTTACAACCCCTTACAATCCAAAATGTAATGGTCTTTGTGAGAGAATGAATGGTATTTTAAAAAGTATGTTGAAGAAAATGTGCCAAGAAAGACCTAAGGATTGGGACAGATATTTGTCTGCGGTTCTCTTTGCATACAGAGAAGTCCCTCAGTCAAGTACAGGGTTCTCACCATTTGAGCTACTATATGGCAGAACTGTTAGAGGTCCCATGCAAGCACTAAAAGAATTATGGACAGAGACAGAAGTGCCAGAGACACGTAATACGTATGAGTACGTCCTAGATTTGAGAAATAGATTAGAACAAACATGCAAGATTGCTAGAGAGAATCTCAGCAACTCACAAGAAGAGTATAAACATCATTATGATAAGAAAACACGACCAAGAAGTCTAAAGAAAGGAGACAAAGTTTTATTGCTCCTGCCTTCAACACACAATAAACTGATGTTACAATGGAAAGGTCCATTTGTTGTAAGTGAAGCAGTTAACAAGTTTGACTACAAAGTGGAAGTAGGTGATAGAATTGGGATGTACCACATAAATCTTCTGAAGAAATACGAAGAAAGAGAAGATAGAATTTGTGCGAGTGTAGCTGTTATAGAAGCTGAAAATAATGATGATACTGGAGTAGTTGATGATGAAAATCTTTTAGAACTAGTAGACACACAGGGTGAAGAGACGTACAGAGATGTTAATGTTAATGATCAATTAACACTTGAACAAAAATCAGAAGTAAATACGTTGCTTCAAGAATTTGAGGATATTTTTACTGACGTTCCTGGAACTACAGATCTTGAATCTCACAAGATTGAGTTGACTGACAAAACACCAATTCGTGTTAGACAATATACGATACCATATGCAAAAAGGACAGCGGTAGAGGATGAGATAAAGAAAATGCTTGAATGTGGTATCATCGAACCAGCAAATTCTGATTATAATTCTCCAATTGTTTTGGTGAAGAAAAAGGATAATACAAACCGTTTTTGTATTGACTTTAGACGACTCAACTCTGTAACAAAGTTTGATACAGAACCAATGGGTAATGTTGAGGATGTTATGGCGAAACTAAAAGAAGATAAGTTCTTCACGAAAATTGATTTGACCAAAGGTTATTGGCAAATACCAATTGAAGCAAAATCAAGATATCTCACAGCATTTTCTACAACAGAAGGTAGTTACCAATTCAGAAAGATGCCATTTGGAATGGTCAATTCTGGTGCAACATTTAATAGAATGATGCGGAAGTTGCTTTCCGGAGTGAATGATACTGATAACTATGTTGACGATGTGCTTGGACATACGGTTACATGGGAGAGACACATGAAGATGTTGAGACAATTGTTCGAAAGAATACGAAACGCAAAGATCACAGTTAAGCCTTCTAAATGTATGATTGGATTTGAAAGTATACCATTTACCGGTCATGTTGTTGGCAAAGGACAAATGCAAATGGAAGATGACAAATTAGTCAAAATTAGAGACGCTATGCGACCAGAGTCAAAGAAGCAACTCAGATCATTTCTTGGTCTAGCTGGATACTACCGAAAATTCATTGCTTCATTTGCAGAAATTGCTTCACCATTGACAGATCTTACGAAGAAAGGACAGCCAAATAAAATCATATGGAAACCAGAACATGAAAAAGCCTTTACGACATTGAAGCAAGTACTGACACGATCACCAATACTACGACTTCCAGACTTTTCAAAGTCATTTGTTTTGCAATGTGATGCCTCAGATACCGGAGTTGGGGCTGCACTTCTTCAACAGTTTGATGATGGTTTGCTTCCAATAGCTTACGCGAGTAAGAAATTGTTGAATCGAGAAAGAAACTACTCGGTTATCGAAAGGGAATGTCTTGCGATGGTATTTGGAATAAAGAAATTCAACAAGTATTTGTACGGGAAAGAATTTGAGCTACATACAGACCATGCTCCTTTAACGTATATTCAGAAATGTAAAGTTGAAAGTGGCCGCATAATGAGATGGGCATTATTTCTACAGAACTATAAGTTTAGAATAGTAGCTGTGAAAGGAAAGGACAACGTGTGTGCAGATTACCTAAGTAGACTCGATACCTGAAAAGAAGCATTGTAGATTATTCTTTTTGTTTGAAAACAGTGGAGTGTTTTCTTGAGTAGGGGGCTGTCAGAATAATCATGAAGTTTATATGTAGATATGTGTCTTACAACGAGTTAATATTTCCCTACAGTGATGTATCGTTGTAGATAAAACAACGAGTTAATATTTCTTTACAGTGATACATTGTTTTGAATAGAGTGTAAATATCATGTTTATACCAGTCGCTGTATGTATACATGTTTAAAGTTCAAATCGTTTAAGCTAGCAAATATGCGCGTTTAGAGAGAGATTTTATATCAGTTAGGAGACACACGCTTATAGTGTGAGGGGTTATTTTTTATTGGGAAAAGAATTTTGTTGTTTTGAAGAGAATTTTGTTGTTTTGAAGTCAGTTTTGTTGGTTTGTTGAAGTGGTTGAATATAATTGTGGTGATCTTAATTGATCAGGGTTTATTGGTTGTAATTTGTTGTTTTGGTTGTTGAGTTATATCTGTTTGTGAAGATATAATTGGTTGATATTGGTTGAATGTTTGGTATTATATCAAGATTATATTAGTTGCTGCTTTGTTTTGAGGATATATGTAAATATTGGGTGCTTTAGTTTAAGTTGTTTTCTGATGCTGATTAGATTGTGTGAAGTTAATATTGTTGGATGAATGTTTGTGGTTTATACCGTATCTTAGAGTTGTAAAAATATTCATTTTTTTTTTTGTGTTCTTCATTTTGTGGTGATTTTATTGTTGTTTGATCATAAGTTGTTAGAGCTTGGGCTCGCCAGGTGTCTTGTTTCGTATAAAAGACGTATACGTGAAAAGATATTTCATATAAGTGGCTGATAAATGATGTGTGTTTGTTTTGGGTGTAAATAATGATAAGAGTTCTTTGTTTTGGGTGTAAATAATAATCAGAGTTTGTTGTTTACATGTATATATTGATTTGAGATAGAAAAGGATAAAAATACCTAAAAAAAAAGATAGTGTTAACTAAACAATTACATGCTAGTTTTCCAACTGAGAATATTTCACTTTTATGTCAGGCGGTGCTGCCCAGCCTCCATATCTTGGAAATTGGTTCTAGTATTTATTACTAAATCTTTTCTTAGATTAAATAACATCAAGGCAGACATTTCTCCTGACAGTAAGTTCAATACTAAATTTATTGCACGAGTTAAATAAAATTATATTATGCGAGCCTCTGGCGAGCATAATAATATTTTATTCAACGAGTGCAATAAACGAGTGCAATAAATTCAGTAATGAACTTACACGAATTTAATATTTTATTTATCACATACCCAAAATAAAGACCGTTTAAAGTGAAATAAGAGTCATTTTTCATTGACGCCTATAGTATAACGCTTACATTTAGCGCGTCTTTACACTATGTTTGTATAACGCTAATGACGTCACGTCAAAATATATGCACGCACGGCCGTGCAATACCATATTTACGGAGTCGCAAAATCGGCACTGATGTGTGATAAATGTTATTATTTGTTTTAAGAGAATAGTAACCTTGAAACGTTATTCAGTAACCTTGAAACGTTATTCACTATTCGTATTTAGTGCCAATGAGTGCATTTTGCATTTACGGCTTAAATGTTCTTTTCGTATTTTTGTTGTTTCTGTTTAATGTAGTAACTTAAGGTTCTGTCATGGTTAATGTGAAACCTTTTGTTTCTTGATAGAAGATAAAAGAAAATTAATAAAGTCAGAAAGAAAATGTTTAGACACTTGAATTAGACAGTAACGATTTCAAGAAAAATAATAATCATCACTAAGTTTCTTTTAAATATATAGCAAAATGTTATCAGTAGTTTTGACCATTTTGATGTCTATCATTTTTAGAGTTTGATATTAATGATTATTGGTATTTAGTGTGTTAATGGTCACATAGTGATTTCACTACTGCTTACCTTATATATATGTCATGTTGTTAAGTTAATGATAATAAATGTAACTCGAAAACTGCAATATACACTTATATAATTGATTTATTGCCTTTGTGTTTTCCTTCATTTTCATATGTCAAATATTGGTCAGTTAGTGTTCAGTAATAAAGTCAAGACTGCAGTTTTTTAAAAGTAATCAATGGTTTGCACGATCTTTTATATTGAACAATTAAATATTGTTACATCAGCTATTGGTAAAATAGCAAATGTCCTTTAATCATATTAGAAAATTTTCTTTTGAACTTGCTCCACTGTTTTTAAATACAATGATAGTGTTTGATGTTATACACTATTTATATTTAAAATAAAGACAATAAGGAACGACCAGTATAGCAATATTGTACATTTTTAAGACTTTGGTTGATATAGTTTGTTCTTGGACGGTAGTAGTAGGTATATGGTTTTTCACTATATTCATTTGTATATTTTTTTGTATATGTACCTAAAAATAAACAGGTAATTTTGTTTATAAAAACAATAACACCACAAAATTGTGCATTACTAGCAAAGAAGCTGTTATATATTAAAAACATCGTTTTGAAATATGGTTACAAAAACACATTGTAAGTTTCAAGCTTTAAATTTATTGTAATGTAATTCTAGGCCATCGGCCCAAATACACAATATAATGTCCAAAAGTTGTACATCTGGTTGTGTCACAAATTATAATATAAAATTCAGACCGAATATTATTTGGTAGTAGCTTTCTGAGGGTTTGTATTTTGCTACTCGCAGCGGTGGAAAATTGATATCTCGCGATACATTTTATAATATACATTGTCGTTTTATATAAAAAGGATTTTCATTACACTTCACTTCTATTAGTAATTTCAGGAAATGTTATAAATTCACTAACGGATGAATACGTAAATTTTGCAACACCGTAAATAACTTAAGTCTTTCCAAATGCTACGTTATACATAGCTAAGATGGGAACCAACATCAAAAATAGTCCTGCAATACCATATGTGGTACCGTATTTGTCAATAACATAATACGGAAGTTTCCGTCCGTTCACGCGTATTTGCACTTCAAGATTTGGGTGTTTTCTAGCGAGAAAATGTATATGTATATAATAAAGTAGCATTTACTGACATTGTAATATGTCATTTTTTCATTTTTCTTTCAAAGAAAAGTTGATTTACTAAGAAAAAAGAATGATTCTATAGAAACCTCAATAATACACTGTGTTTGTCAAATAGATAATGTTGATCAATGATGCATGTACTAGCACAAAATAAAACTAATCTTCATGTCTGCAAAACCTAAAAGGATTTAAAACAAAGTCTGGAGAAATTTGTGTAGCAATGACTATCAATTTGTGCATGAAATACAATGATTTGAATTAAATCAAGTTAGTCCTGAAAGATTGCCATTCTCAAGAGAAATATTAATCAAATGTATGAGCTGTTACGTAATATTCTCAATTCAATTAGAAACAAAGATCATCATAAAATTGTTGATAAACAGTTATAATTTCCGACAGAGCTGTTGTTTAAGGAAACTGAATTACTCTCTAAGGAAATTATTACAGACACAATCACTTATTAGAGCAGCAAATAACCAAGTTTTAAGACATTTTTATGATACAAATAATTTAGTTTACTTCCTTATTATAACATATATGATACATTAATGGACCGATATAAAGCTGTATTAGATTAAATATCGAATGTAACAAATGGAGATAACATATTAAAACTACCTGTAGATCTATTTATGCGTAATCAATTGCTTATAAAATGATAATATATTTTACATATTTCTCGATTTCAGCTTTGGTAAATAACTAAGGATATCCTGAATTATCATTTGGTACTACAATAATGCTGATACCATTTTAGCAATAAGACATAGTATTTACCTGATAAAGATAATGTTCAAATAATGTCCGTTATAAATTAAGGTTTATGAAATATTACAGCAACTTTAAACTACTACTTCATAGATTTTTTAAACAATAGGTTATTATTCATTTTGATAAAGTCTCACATTGTAATGTTTATAAAAGTCTCAATACATTTTGCTTCTTATAAATATCTTTAACATGTACTCTAAAGGTATGCCCTGAAGTGATTAGCACTAAACTACTTGTAAATACCTTGTAGAAATCACAGTACAAGCGATTTTAGAGTATGTCGCAAGGCAGTTAATAAAACAGACATGGGTAAGAAAAACAGACACACCGTTGTTAGCTGTTTAAATCCATTATTGCGGTAAATGTTCTTCATTTTTAACAGTACCTGTGCTTTATATTGTTCTTTTGATATATATTTGTTTAAGAATATGTCATTCTTGTTAATCAATTATGCACATCTTATCACGTTATTATCAATAGAAGCATATAAATTTGGTTTGAAGAGAATGAGATTTACATTACCATGTCAGTGTTTTTAACGTGATGACAGCGATACTAGAGCCATGAAAAAAACCTTAACTTTTGCACTGTAAAGTCAGATTCCTTCATAAGAATAATTAGAAAAAATGATGAAATGATGTATCCAGTTTGGTATTTCGTTAGAATAATCAATTATAATACTACTATATTTTTTTTGTTATTCATACATTGTATATAGAGAATAATAGGTTGGTGCCGTGGATGGAGAAAGTTTATCTGGCGAGGCGGAGGAATTTATCGGGTGAGCCGAAGGCGAACCCGATAAATTCCGGTGCCGAGCCAGATAAACTTTCTCCATCCACGGCACCAACCTGTTATTCTATTTATCCTGTCACAGTTTTTTTTTAATTTATTAGGTAAACCACCTTTATTTTTTTTACTGAGTTGTGTCCCTTTCATTGTGACGTTGTTTAATTTTAATCTTACGCTTTGCGCGGAAAAAATAGTTCTCAACATTTTGATATTTTTTTCAAAATAAAATAATAACAACAAACTATGTAACAACTACTTTTTTATTCCACGGCATTTTGTCAAATATCCTCTCAAGAACTGACCAAAAATTATATAATTTCGCTTTGGCTTTCATACGCATCTACATGTACATAATGTCATACATGATACAGTACTTGTCTCACCGTTTCACGAGTTTACTTCATGTACAAATTGAAATTTGGATATTCAATACAGCTCCAGAAAATAGAGAATTTATTTGTGTATTTTAGTGTAACAGTGTCATTTACAAATGCGATGGAATTGCCACTGGAATTTGGAGATACCACCGTTGGCTGCAACTGAGATGTGTGGGTGGGGAACAATTTCAACATGTAAGTTTTGATTTTCATTTTGTTTCGACTCAGATGCACTTCCTTTGGTTGCATTAACATTAAGAGAAGATAAATTTTTTTTCATTCATTGACGATTGTGCATTGGAGTTGACAGTCATTGGAGCAAGAACTATGTGATTTGTCAGAATGAACAATTGGCTCAACAGATTCATTTACTTTTGGACAACTGGTTGTGGATGGTGGTTTAGGTCTTACATTTGATAAGATCTTTGAACATTGCTTATGTGTTTTGCTCAGACATTGTAGAATAATTCATGACAGATTGAATGTTCTTATGGCCACTTATCTGCATAATGTCGGTTGGAGCAATACCTGAGTCTCTAAGTTTTTTACTAAATGTTTCCTTGTTGAATGGTTGGTTAAGCGTTTATTTTCATCTAAACCACCATCCATAGCCAATTGTTTTTAGCAGGCTACCAATTTTTTTTCTCCAAGAGGCATTTTCATGAACCAGTTTTTCATGATTAACTTTTTGAGAGCTTGTGCGAGGTGATATATAAAAAGGATTGTCCTGTTCACAAAAATCATTAGGTCTTTTAACTGCATAAAAAGTTTGTACATCTCCACAGGACATCTTTCTAGGTCATCAGGGGTTGCATAAATTTTTGGATGTCACTTCTCGGACATCATTGATGTTCGATCCTGTCCTTGTTTTGGTCTGGCGCTCTCTTAGTTCAAGGTACTCAACACCATCTGAGCTAGTTTTGAGACAAACATCACCCCATCTAAAATTAGTGAAATAAAAGTAATGGAAAATGAGTGTTTTTTTTTTTTACAAGCAACATAGAAAAAAATGTATACTTCCCCATTAGGCATTGACATTTAATATTGGAAGACATACATGTAGATTTAAGATATTAGTTTAGTTTTAGATTTCTTATCTCTTTATTTATAATTAAATATTGAGGTAATTAGTAATCTGACAAAAAAAACCTGTAGCATATGAGATATGTTTCTAAGTTTAGGCTTTTAATTACTTGTTTTTTAATTATTTATGCCAGAGTTGGTTTAATAAGAATGAAATAATACAATTTCACAATAATACAATTTAAAACTTGGCATTATTTTAGTGTCCATTTAATGTGCATTATCAAAAATATTTAAACTTAATAAGGTTATTATCATATATGATAAAATGCTTGCAGTCATTTTCATTCACATAGCATAATTAATGACAGGCCATGGCAAGAATGTTATAAGCTCTTGTAGTTTAATAGCGAAAATACCTCTTTGTCATATATTATTGTTGAAGAGGAGTTCTGAGTTCAAATCTCAGCAGGAGCACTTCATTGCTGGGCCATGGTTTGAAGAATTAAAAAACGCAAACAGTTTTGAAGTAAAATTTACAAATGAGTAATGTTTTTAAATTGAGTCATATTTTTATCAATAACATATTTGTATGTTTTAAACATGTTTAAATAATTTCACATTAATTTCTAAAGGACTGTACCTTAAATTATAATTCTCTTTTGTCCCTCTGAGACCAAACAATATACAGTTGTTGATCCAAATGGTATTCAGCAATGACTTGGCGGTTCTGTTACCAAGAATCCCTTTGTCATAAAGCATGTCAATTTCTTGGTCAGATATCGGACAGGACTTCTTCGCGGTTTATTTCCCTTTACCTAACCTTTTAAGAGATTTCTGTTTCGCATGTAATGCATCTCTGCTTAGTTGGAATATGTTTTGACTGCTCAGAAAATATTTTTATGAGGATATCGCTGTCTGCGCAGTTTGCGGTCTTATACTTCCTACCATGTTTCTGATGGTTGGAAGGCTCATACTCATCACCGTCTGGCTTTCTTACAGATAAAATAAAGTTAGCTAAATATTCATCTAAGAGGTCTGGTTTCAATTTGATGGCATTGTTTGGTTTCTTGCTTGCTTTCCAGAAATCTTTCAAATTTAGCAACATCTGATAGTGTTTTTCTTAAGAGTGTTCTTATTCTCTTCATTTTTCTATTAGGATTCTGACATCTGTTGATGAAATTTCCATGAACTCTGCTTTTTTTAAGTTACTGTTACTTTGGCCTTTCTTGGTTATTCAAAGGGGAAGTTAAATTTTCATTTGTTTCAGGCAATACAGGATTTGGTCCAGCAAGTATAACATTAGCTGTAGAAGTAAATTCATTTGCATGATTTGGTTCAACAGGTGTTACAGGAGTAGAGGGTAATTCATCTGATTTACTGAGTGTTATAGGGGAAGAAACTCTTGAGGGTAATTCAGTAGTAACATCTCCAATATCAGTTGTAGAAGTGAAAGATAATACATTTTCAGGGTTCTGATCTTCATTCATTTCAGTGAACAGTAGTTCAATGTCAAAACCATGTTCTCTCAAGAAATCAACACTGGTCAACTCAGAAACAGCAGTAATAATGTTATCTGAATTTTCATTTTGATCATTAGCCTCACATAAATCATCCCAAAGGATGTCAAAAGTACCCTGACTCATATCCTCGCACATTTTTTCAGTTTACAGTAAAGTTTTGACAGGCATACAACTGTTTGTAAACAATGCTCCGTGTACAATAAACGCCTTGTTTACTATAAAGTCGTATTTAGGTCAAGATAATATGTCAATAAATGCTTTAAAGAGGCCGTTTTAATTATAACAAACACATTTAGTTGCTTGATAAGTAAATTTATTTCAAACTACACAGTTATTTTTATTGATTACAGCTTTTATAAACGCTAGCATTTAAAAAACTGTTTTAAGCGACGCTCGCTAAAAGTAGTCCGGCTGTCATACCGATTCATTCATACCACGTGACCAAGTGCCGTAGATCAGTAAAAATATACGGCACCTTGTTATCGGGTCGAAATTGATGCAAGTGACAGGATAAATGCTTATAAACAGTTTTGCATTAATTACACAAAACAAAATCACACCGTAAACATATCGGCATTTAGAAGGTAACATTTTCATCTCAACAGTTTATTTGTATTCATCATAAAACAATTTATGAGATAACACATTTCCGATTCTCTTGTTTGTTTGACCGTTTATCTGTCCGTCTGCTAGACCCATGATAATAACTGTTGATTAGAATAGATATTGCTTGATTAAGCATATCTAGCATTTGTATCGTGTGTAACTCAATAAGAATTGAGGCAACATCGCATCTGATGTTTTTACTCAAATCCAAGGTTGACAGTGATATCATTGGATATGGACTTTCGCAAATTTGATATAAAAAATACCAATGTACGGTGTGACTTAACAGTGCTCAACATTATCAGACGGTGCGGAGTTTGATATGTTTTTTATCTTGACCTGCAATGAATCTATTTGTTTATTTAGTTGCCGCAAGCAGGTTAATCATATTAATATGTGTTTTCTAGCTTCCTGCCTATACTTTACTAAACAATCTGGAAATGGGCATAACAATATAATTATTATTATTTATCAATTATATTGAACTATTATCAGTAGTTTTAATGTATTATTGAAACATGTTTTATTTTCTGGCTTGCATGTAAATGCAAATCTTTCAATATGTAAATGTACTGGCAACAGAGAAATGTAAATGTTGTTTCAGATGTTTATGACCTCACTTTTCTTCATAACAAATATATTTAAACAAATTAGTGATCCCATACTATTCTTTTAAATCAGATTTGAAAAACAATATCTTATAAATAACACAGTTATTTGTCATTTTATTATACTCAAGAGGAATTAAAACCTTTTATAAGGGTCGTAAAATTGTGAGATAATGCATCTTTAGATCAATAATGCACCAATCTTTATCACATAAAAAATAAACAAGATGTTGAAATTGTGAAAAGGTTGTTTTAACCTGACTTTTAACTGGTCTCAATGGAAATATCAAATATTGAGACAACAAATAAAAAGTTAAAATAATAATCATATAAGATAACAACATATTTCAACACATTATCAAGCTATAAATCTGCTTCAAATAGTTACACTTATTTTGAAAAAGAATATTTCCAGGATATTTCCAAAATATGAAATTAAAAAAAAAATTGTATATATCCCTTTTAGGGAATAAAGCATGCATAAAATTATCATTGATACATTCAAACTCTACTTAAATTGTAGCATAACATTTTATTTATTTACATACAATATTCTTGTGTGATACAAAACAGACTGGCATTTTGTTTTACAACTCTATGTAGAATCGAACGATATTATTATCGAAACAAATTAATTGAACTGTTTTTAAGACTGAAACACCACATCTCGGTTTGATTCTTTTTTCCTTATTTAACACGTAATTTCATATAAGCAGTAATTTGTAAGGCTACGGATATACGGAAGAGAACCTACATTTTTACTGGTATAATAATTTTTCAGGGAATCAGAATAAGGTACTTCCAACTTTGTCAAGATTTGTACTTGCAACAACTTACCAAAAACAGAACTGAAAGAGAAAAGGTGTTTTAATATTGATATAAAACGAAATCAAAATTTGACAGAATTTTAAAAGCCGTATCAAATGTAAAAGCACCACTCATAAGTTGTTTTATTGTTTGGAACTATATTTTTACAACCTTTTTTTTTGTTTCCTAATAGCTACACAGAGCACCTTTAACAGAAAATTTATTATATAATTTATAATTTATTTTTTATAATATGTCTCCAGTAAATTAGATTAATAATCCCGTCTAATTTTACGAACAGAAGCCATTTCAATTTTTTTTATTCAACATAATTGTTGTTTTGATAACATTTATTGGATCATTTGCCGTTTATTATGTACACAATGTTAGCACAAGAACAATTTATATACTGTACACTTACTATATAATATTTCAGAGATACCGCGTATTATTTTTTTCTCCAAAAGTTGACCAAGCTTATCTGTTAAAAATCATTTTTATGAGATACATTTTATATAAGATTTTTGAAATTTTGTTAAGATATAAAATGTCAATTGTGCACTGCTACATTTCGTGTGCACGAGCCTAACAGACATTAT